TATATATATATATATATGAATGTTACTTTGACCTAGTCAGATTATTCCTCTCATCTTGTAAGGTTATAATCCCAGGGGAACGATAGCTCACTCTCTCAACTTTTGCGAGTTTTATTCACCTCAGTTATGAAAGTTATGCAACTCTGGCAGCCATCATTTTCTTCACATGCAGTTAGTTCTGCATGGAGGCAGGCAGTGGTGGAACAGGGTGTTTACATAACAGGAAAAAAAAAAACGATTAACCATGAGCATTTTCCCAGAATGCACTCTGGGAAGGCAATGATTCATCTCTTTCCATCAGTGTGTGAAGTGTACAATGAGAAAGCACCAAGATGTCTTAACAGTCCTTGAAAGATCCATACCGCTCTGACCACAGCTCTTCCTCCCACAGGGCATGAAAGAGGAAGACGGAAGTCTTGTGATGCTGTTTCTTTTTCAACTCAAATCACATCAAGTGCTCAGATACTCATGAATGTTTCTGACAAATTTACTCTAAGACCAAAAGAACCAATCAGCTCTCAGAGTTTCTTAGTTATTTTCTAGACGCTCATTTCTGTAGATTCAGCGCAAGATGTATTCAATTTGGTTGTAGAGTTCAAATCTACCATCTGTTGTGTCACCCAGTCTTCTTTTATTATTTCAAAACCATTAAGTTCATTTATAGTGTTGAGCTGATGGCACACCTAAAGGGATAGTTCAGACATTTTGAAGTGAAGTTCAGTGGAAACAACTTCAGGCTAAGTGCTATTTTATAAACTTGCCCATCAGTGCAAGTTTTGCATTACACAGTGATTTATGTAGAATACTACAGTTATAGAGTTAATACATAAAAGATGGCCGTGTAGATTTTATTCACAGTGGAAGTCCAGGGTGAGGCTATTTCAGCTCCATAGAGAGTGAGGTTTGATGAGTCTGGACGGAGTCAGAGCACGCTGCGCCTCACAAACCTCCAAGCAGGACTTCACTCAGGATGAAAGCAGAGGCAGGTGGCAGGTTTGGTGAGTAGCTGACCACAGACAAGAGTCCGATTCATGCATCATTCTGTGTTCAGACACGCATGCAAAACTGGATGTTGTCCTGTTTGCAGGGATAAATGTAGATTGGGTAGCTGCTTTTATAAAGCTGAAAGGAGCACAAAACAGTTGAAAAAACAGCTGAAATTAGCTGAAGTAGAGTCAATTTTCTTCTTTTTTTTTTTTTTTTGCACAAGGAAGCTGAAATTAACCGTTTCTAAATGTGAAAGTAGTAAAATGTTGTTGATGCTGTTCCTGCGCCAGCTTCAACTTTTACGTCTTTGCTTCAAACCAGCACTGAAACCAGTTTGGTGGAAAAGGTCCCTTGTCAGTCAAAAACGAGCTAAAAAATCTAGAACTCACAGTGAGGTCTACAAATAAAGCAGAAAGAACAAAAAGCATTATTTGTAAACCATAATCAACAAAATAACAAGAAATAAAGGCGTGAAATATTTCACTCTGTTTAATGAATTAATGTAAGATAAGATAAGATAAGATAAGATAAGATAGAACTTTACTGATCCTGCAGGAACTTGTGCCAGAGTTTCAATACAAAGGAACAACAATTAAGTTCTAAAACAGGTCAGGCATCCAGAAACATTAAAGTGTTTATTGTGGTGAAGAATTAATTTTATTGTCTTATGTGTCGAAAGGGGGAGGAGTTGAAAAGTTTGATAACCACAGGGAGGAAGTACTATGTGAGTTTCACTTTCTGAAACTATTGACAAAAAAAAGAGAACTCTTTCCACATCATTCTGTTTTTGAGATGCATCTGTACCACCCAGCCTTAGCTCCTCTATAAATACTCTATTTTAAAATTTCTGTTTTGGATAAAAGATGTTAAAGCATTAAACTGAACAGACTGTGGAATAGTGTGAAGTATATATTAATTTAGGGAATATATTGCAAATGATCAATTAAAGATCCTAACATAAATAAATGTTTTTATGATGTCATCAGGCTTCTTGGACAATAAAATATTTAACTTGTGTTCTTACAACACGAGGTTATTCTCTCCTGATGAAAACTCCTAATTATTTTGATTTTTGATTTATAGCTGAGGCTTTTCTTCTCATGGTGGAGTCACGTTTACATAAAACCTGCCCAGAAGCTCCAATGGCACATGTGAAACAATAAACGCTCAAGCACCTCTCTCTTCAGAACAATTAGTGGAACAACTAAAAGGCTAACAAAACAACATAACTTAATAATCCTTAACGAGACAGGACACAAAGGTTGTTGTCGTTCTGCTGAGTAATGCTGCTGATGTCACTGTGGCTCTAAGCCTGATAATCACTAACATCAGATGTGGTCTTAGTGAAAGCCTGAAGGAAACGTACACAATCTTTATTGATGCCATCCAACAATGTTTTGTAGGTAATGATCGCCGTAATAAAACATTTAATGGACATTACTTAATTTTGAATGCAATAAATTACCACTACAAACAGCTTTCTGAGAAGTATCGTTCCTTTTACGTACATTATCAAACCGAGTACCTGTAGTTAAAATTCTCTCACCTGTGAGTCTGACATAATCAAACCTTCTGTACTGTAGAAAAACAAGTGGAAGTTTAGTTGATCCAACCAATCTAGCCTACACACTGCACTGTCTGACACACCACATTGTTCTTATACCTGATAACAGATTTGTAACTACTGTTGTGTGTCAAAAACGTTTCGTCTTTCATCCAAAAGACTTCATCAGTCCGAGGAACTGCAATAAACTCAGTCCCACAAGCAGCACACTCACATAGTGGCTTGCTGCAGTACAATTTTCAAGCCCCGCCCTTCCATGTAAACAAATGGGATATTTTCCTCACTAAAAAAAATAAAAATACACTTTAGATCTCTTTTCATAGCTCTTATCTTTCTACTGTTTGAATATGCATTTTATCTCCCAATACATTTAATTTCACTTATTTACTTGCAGCTTAAACTAAATTCTGTTCTGTGACTGGCAGTGTTGACAGCCTGTTAGAAGGTTGTCAGGAGGTGTAGGTGGGACTTTGGTCATACACAGGCTGCAAATAAAAACAATATGGCAGCACCCTAAAATTTTAGTTCTGAGCAACGGGAGAAGGCTGAGACACATCTGGATGTCAGTCATGTTTCCTTTTTTTGTTTGTTTCTTTGTTTCCTTTGGGATATTGATTTTGCGAAAACAATAAAATTTTGATGTAATGTAGAAACTAGGTTCCTCTGTGTTCCACGATGCAGTGACCATTGTAACCTTTCCCAGTGTAAAGTTGCTGCACTCAAGCCTGCTGAACCTTTAGATGTTTGTATTTTAAATTATAGTCATGCAATACCACAAACTCTTCTGTGTCTGCCTGCAGCAGGAACAGGCAGCCTAACATACACTTTGTATTTGGTAGGTGCTTTTTAGAGGAAAGAAAGTTGCCTTAAACATCTGAAAAGGATGTTTATTGTACAGCCAAGCACTCAAGTAGCAATGATGTGTTGTCCACTGATATTAGGAGGAAGAGCAGATGTAACATGAGGACATGGGTAGTATTCATTAGAGAAAAGAGAGTGGCTGCTAAATGCACTACATGAAGCTCTAGATCAAGAAACAACAGCAGTATAGTGTGCTGTAAAAATCACATCATCATAAATATGTGGGAGAGTTTGTCAAATAAGCATCCTGTTTGATCAGAGAATAATAAAAGACTAGAAAATTCAAGTAGAAGTCGGTGTGATTTGGTGCATTCTGAGTGTAATATAAGAAAAAATGAGACAAATACATTTGTGTATGTTCTCAGAGTGTTTCTCATAACTGAAGCTGTCTAAGACTAAATATGACTGGAGGATGATTGGGGCGGGTGTGTGTGCATCTCGCATATATTTGATGTAAAAACAACGTTGGTACTGACTTGGACAGTTTCCAGCCTCACAGAGACAAAGCTTCGACTAAACGGACTTGCATTTTATTGATAGGAGAATATCTTTTCCCTCACATGTATAAGATTTTTAACAAACTATCTCACTAGGGGTTGAACGAGTATATAATTTTTAAACTCGACATTAACATAATAAAACCCGAGTAGAACTCGAGTATTTGATGACGTCATAGATCTCAAGATACAAAAATAAATAAATAAATAAATAAAACCGCAAAAAAAGGTAATTATTTACAAAAAAAAAAGACCAACAAAACATTGGGAGCGTATATTATGCTCCTACCATTTATCATACTGCAAATAAGTCACAGGAAAAACGAAACT